TTTTACTGGAGTTTGATGCTATGACTCCATGTGTATGAGTCCAGAATGATACCGCAGACCTGACATGCCTTATGACATGTCATTATTGATTTAAAGAAGACTTTGTGACCACGTGTTTTGTACAGTTTGAAGTTAAAGTTGTGTAAGCTAATTGATGTAATCTTATTAATTTTTAGTTATTTGTTACTTTGGATATGTACTGACTGAATAAAGGTTTTAAATAAAAATACGGGCTAGAAAAGATTTAAAACTTTAACGTTGATTTTGTAACATGGTGGAATCTAATTTGGATTCAGTTCTGTGTTGTTTTCCTCTTCAGCTCGGAAAACACAATGGGAAAAGTCGTCTGCCAAAGATTCAAATGGTGTTGAAAGCGATCAGGAAAATGAAAATGCTGAAGATAGTTCTAAATCTCCGCCTAAAATCCACCGTACTGCAACGGCAATGGCAGTGGAAGAAACGGTAGAGGAAATTGAATTCAGGGAGAAATATTTTGAAGGTAAGTTGTGAGCCGGCAGCCGTAGGAACAGTAAGCCAGAATGTTGTCTGATAATTAAAATATTCTAGAAGTAGTTTGTCTAAATGTAACACCCTGATGTTGAGGTGTCTGTTTCAAGCTCCCTATCTCCTAAGTGATATTTTGTAGGAAAAACAAATGTAACAAACAAAAGTACAGCAAGTCAGCAGGTTTTGCGCTGATGTTGCCTCTGAGGTTCATATGAGTATCAGATTCATTTTACTTGAAACAAAGACATTGGAAATTTGCCAGCGAAGCCTTGGCTTGTTGGAGCAAAAAAAGACGAAAAACTCATCAGGGTATCCGGCATGTAGGCCAAGATGAGAACTCGGGACCTCCCAAATACAAAGCAGGAGTCTTTACCACTCGACCACAATGTTCGGTAATGGTCTTCTTGCAAAGGCTGTTGAGGACCTGAGGAAAGTTGGTAAAGACCTTACCAAGCAAACGAACAAGATCTGATTGTGGTAGTGGGAGGACCAAGATACAGCCTTGTTAGAAATTATAATTCAGTATAAGAGGATGTAAACTCTGTTGAAGAGAGGACTTCTTCAATGGCTCTACGGTCCGTATTCGGCCCATGGCCGCCTCAATTCTCCTCTTCCATTCGGTCCTATTGTTAGGTCCGTCTGTCCGAGGCTTTGATCGAGGTTTCGAAACATCTTCCTTTTTACGGTGCAAGGTTATTAGCCTTGCGACCAACCCCCAACCTGGAGGACCAGGGTACCTGTCTTAGTCTGACCTCTCCCCCTCGACCAATCTGGCTAGGGAGGCCCTACCAGTAGCTATGCTACCGCCAGCATAGCTCTTGAAGAGAGGACAGCTAGTACAAATATGGGATTTGTCAATATCTTCAGGAGGCACAACAAACCTTGGATGAATGAGAATGGTAGGAATGTATGTCTGCAGCTCGATCAGGCCCTTAAGGGGCATGTCGTACGTTGGTATAATTGACACTGCAATTTAACTTGACACACAGAGCATCTGTCTGTAGTAGTGAGCTTGTACAAAGCCCCCTTGGGTGAGGTTAGACACAATTTAAAATATGTGCAATCCATCTGAACTCTTTGCTAAGAACCTATAATCTGTCTCATACTGTAAACTTTGCAATAAGAACTCGCATTGTTTCGTCTAAAGTATCTGATAATACGTTTATAAATAATACAAGACTGAGCTCATCTTTTGCACCTCTGATATTAATTGGACTGCCAGCCCATGATACAGTCTGTCACAAGTAAGAATATTGCTGTAGCAACTAATTCAATGCGTTCAAAACAGAATCGTAAAAATAATCAAACAATCAAGCACCTTCAGCTTCAACTAATGTGAATCTGTTTTCGTAACAGTGACACAGACTGTAAGTTTAACTTGTTCTTGTACGTTCCTAAAAACCCTTTGAAGCTTGTTTTCTAGGCAAAATATAGAATATATTCTGACCTTGTTTGTGTATTTCCATCAGACTGAATGTATTTCTTGCTATCATTAAACAGTTTTTGGTACTTATGGGTTATCGGGACACATCGCTTTAAAAATAGGTTAGGTTAGTTGTCATTTATTGAAATAAATTACAATAACTTTCAAGTATATGTCATATATCCACACACATTAACCTAACCTAATCTAACCTAACCTCTTTTTAAAGCGATGTGTCCCGATAACCCACAAGTACCCAATTTTTAAAATCCGACTTGAAACCAAAGGTATTTCCTAAGCTTATAAATCTTGAAGCATAAGAGTAAAATACCGGCCGTTGATATTTTTACTAATGATGCGTTACTGGCAGTGAAGTAAAGGGATAGGATTTTTTAAGTTATAAGTTTGAAGACTTTTTTGCAAACTATTTAGCCCTACCATATTAACTTATATTGAATAGCCTTGTGTTTATTAAACCATGTTGAAGTAGCTAAGTTGTTAAATATTTTTGCAGATAATCATGAGGCTCTGACGAAACTCAAGTTGCGTTGCACAGCCTGCTCTTCTAGCCTAACGTCGGTAGTGCTAAAAGGTCGCAATGTATTCCATCATCCTGTACTGAGAGTACTCATGTGTAAGGTATGTTTTTTTGCCCATAACTGTGAATATGTAAAAGACAAACACGCGTTAAGCAATGAAATTTTCTCGAGTGATCAGCTACGTGATCATGGAATTGATGGGGCCAATTTATCGAGGAAATAAAAATTTCGCACACTTGAAGGATCACGTGGACCACGAACTTCCCGAGAAATAACGGTTCCCATCTCAAGCACGTCCACCATTTTATCCCAGTCTCCCACTTGGTGGAAGTGGCAACAGTGACATAAAGCTCAAGACTCTGCTTGTCTCTGGGAACAAAAGTCTAAACATTGCTAAATCTTTGCCGTCTATGATTCGGAGGTCACGTAGGAAGGCCTGAATTATGAGGCAGATCTTCTGTCATCAGTTTATTGAATATTTTGTGCTAGAAATAAAAAGTAAATATATATATATACTATATATATTGTGCAGAGGAGAATCTCAATTTCAGGATTCTTTTCATTTTGGATAATGGCAGTGGTTATGTGATTGATTATGTGAGTTTATCAAAGAACATAAAATTGTAATATGCCTCCGTAAATGACACCAGTTATGCAATCGATGGACCAGGGTGTGATTTTTTCTTTGAATTTTAATATCATCATATTTCAGAATGGTTGTAGGAGTTGTATTATGGATTGCTGGGAAACATTTCCTTCTTAACCTTTAAACGACGGGTATCTAAATCGCAAAGTGGTAGCAGCTCACAGAATATTTTTTTTGCGGGTATTTGAATTTTTGTGCACGCTCTACGGAAAACTTTAATATTATCTAAAGTAACCATGATAAAATTACGAAATAAATGCCATTTTTATGCAAATGGAACAGAGAATACACGGTTTTTTTAAAAATGCAGTTAATATCTTAATTCCATTTCTGTTGTCTGTGAAGTGTAAGAAGCGAAGGATATCTAGGTATCTGTCTCGTCTTATCATGTCGACATGGTAGAAGCCATGGTTGTGAACTGCTGACCGCACAGAAAATTTTGTTTCCCTCTGCCTCAGTGGATACACATTCTTTTCACCCATCATGCCCATCGTGAGAAGCTTTGAATAGCAGGTTGACCTTGCCAGAACCCTCAAGAAAGTGATTCAATGATTGCAGCCCCTAAAAGAGACCAAAAGACGTAGCCAAGTCTCCTTAGAGTGTTACAAGTATGTACGTTCCGCACAAGATAAAGGTTAAACATGTTGTGGATGACATATTACATTCTCCAGTTATAGACCTGTCTGTGGATGACTGGATGTTCTGGTCTTTATTAACCCCTATTTAATTATTATGGGCAGAAATTTCCCGCTTTAAAGAGATACGCTTCAAGTGGCAATTTTCTATTCCCATTTAACAATGGATAACAAGGACCTCCTGTATTTTACATAATGTTCGTGTCATAAGGGAATAATGTGAAGAGCGATGTGACTGACTGTTGGCTGTTGAGTTTGCTCTCGGAGCCATTTTTCCTAGGGTGAGAGAGGACCAGTGGGGAAGAGCGAGTAGTTGGATGTTCACTCAACACAAATGGTGTTGCATAACTGGTGCAGTCTCAGATGACAGCCATTGTAGACTCTTTTTGCTATGGATGATTTTCTTTTCTGGTGGCCCTACGTCAAGGATGTTGCTCATCGTATGATGGAGGCAGACGACCTCTGAAATTTTGGAAACTAATTCCACTCTCACATGGCTGATCACCCGAGACTAAATGATACTTCCTTCATGTGAAATTATCCTAAAGTAATTACCAGGTTTAAGACGTCAGAATATCTAATGACCTCATTGGCACTTTTAAGTGAAATAAAGTGCGTTCTTTAGTCGTGAAGACCGTGAAGTATATCGTTAGACACAAAACCTTTGGTAATTATTCGTTACTTGCAGACGACGCAGTTGCATATAATGTGGAGTTTTTGTTGGCGAAGTAACTGGCAAGAATATCTTACTTTATTATGCTTCTAAGGATTTTTCTTCTGAGTTCAGATGTTATGTAGTTATGCGCCAGTAGTGGTAATAGAAGGTTTCACATGTTTTTGGAGAAACATACTGCCTTCATGTTCGAAGTAGAAGTGATGAGAATGGATAAGCAGATCGTATTGGAAATTGTGGATGGAGGTCGGATTGCACGGGGAATGGTAATTGCCCTGTTACGGGAGAGAGAAGAGAATGGAAGAAGGTTCTTCATGCTGTACCACCCCCAGCTCCCAACTTTCTGTATTAATTATAAAATTAAGTCATGTAAGTCTTGAAAGTGTCACTACACATTTCATGTATGTTCACTTTGCTAAAAATGTGTTATATTCTTATAAATTTGCACCAGGGTCATAGAGTAAGATACTTTATGATATACGCAATGTACGTTAACCATGATGCAAATGTGAATTCAATTGAAAGTGGTGACAAATCAGAGTATAAAGTAACATATTCTTGTTTTTAAGAAGTTCATGTTCCAGTGTAAAATATTTGTTTCTTTAGCAATGTATCAATTTCTATGGAGATGGGAATTTCTCTATGGACGAAGATGGTTCAGATAAATACTGCCGATGGTGTGGGCAAGGCGGAATGCTGTATTGCTGTTCAACTTGTTGCTGTGCTTTCTGCAAGGTATATGTGGTATAAATTTATGTTCGCAGTGGGTTAATCAAGGGGATCCTTTATCCTCAGTCATTTTTATTTTATTCTTTTAATATGCAATCAGGAAGGGCCAATAAAATGAGGAAGAGATGCAACTGAATGGCTTAAATTAGGTACTCATATATGCTGATGATGTTCATTTATTACATGAACATATAACTTCAAGAATATTACAGCATTTTTTTTTAGATGCTAGTAGGGAAATTGGTTGGAATTAAATGTAGGTAAAACTTAATTATGCCATGAAACTAAGTCTGGCAAGATCGTAATGTAATGTACTTAATTTGGAAATGCTTGCAAATTAAATAACAACAAGCAAAAATCATGTCAAACTTGAAATAAGCAGAAGAATAAATTCAGGAAATGCTTTTCAGTTTCAAAGTAGTTATTATTCTGTCTCCTTTTCAAAACACCAAAGCTCAATAGGATGAGAAAATAAAACATATATTTTGTTTTAAATATTCAGAAAGAAATTTGCACATATGTTCAAGAAATTTTTGCACATGTGTTTTGTACAGGTTGTTCAACTGAGCAAGAAACTTTACAACACGAAGAACAAAAAGATTTTTTTGCCAGCAGTCAGTCCTTGTCTTGTTGATATGATTCATGAGTCATTCTTGGAGTAGATAGTGAGCAGGCAAATGTCACATGGTCCACATCTGTTTGTCTCTCAGCCGTAATTTCTCTGTATTGAAATGAAATTTACAATTCAACACCAAATGTTCATAAACAAGTGCATTCGAAGATTTATTCGTGTTCTCCCAGAATCATAAATCCCTACAAATCTGTGAGCATTCAAGCTTGTGAAAAATTGGTGGACTGCAGGTACAGTTTATGATGAAAGGAGAGAGTCTAAGAGGAATGTGATGGCTGAACGAAAAGTTCAGGAAATTCAGATATCGTTAGAAATTGATCTGCACAAAGACATCTAGCAGAAAAATAAACTTATGATTCGCTGGCATCTGTATTCTCAAGCACAAGACTAATTTAATTCTGCTCTTATACACAGTAAACTTGTGGGAACACATTTGCTGTTCATAATCGATGAAGCATGGTTTTACGTTAGTGGTCATGTCTGTATGCAAAATGTAAATATATGGAGCGATACAAATCCCCATGCTGTTAGACATGTCATTACATATTGAAAAAATAGCGATTTGGTGTGCTGTAAATGCACAGTTGATCATTGGCTTCGTTTGATTCCTTTATCCATCTGCATTCACTTCGTTTGTTTAGAAGCATACACTTTTAGACGATGGCTATCTTCTGGGCCATTGCGCTGCATAGTCTGGTAGAAGTTTACCGACGTTGCAGAGGTACTTGCTGCCTCCATCAACCATCAAATCCTGCATACACTTTTAGTCAGCCTGATGTGTTTTTAAGAAAGTTGTTTTTGTCCTCAATTTTTAGTGCTGGATTCCTGAAGTTCCAGGCTCCATTTTATCACATTTTAATTTTTTGCTCCTGAGGACCCATAAAAGACAACAAATGACAGGCATTACATGATTTGTCTTTTTTTATATTAAATTTTAAGGCATCATAAAAAATCCTTCCTTTAATGTTTTCATATACCTGTCAAATATACTGCTGTTCATTAATCTTCTAGTGCGGTAATCTGGATAACGCGAAGTTATAGACAAGAATTCTTAGTGACCAAGCAGTGGTTTAATTCTTCTGCTTATGTCAGCGTGGTCCAACTGGCGGCCCATGGGCCGGATCCGGCCTGCAAAAGTATTTGCTAATTTGTTACTCGTTAGTACAAACCTATTTATTTTCTTTGCTCTCATGGATTTGAAAAAATAATTGTGATTGTCATCTCGTCTGCTGCTTTACGTACAAATATCACGTCAGTATGTGAAAGAATGTCTTCTGTTTCATTGTTCAGCTATGTGTCGGGTATCGAAGGTACCAGTTATTCCAGTAACTAGCAACTAATAACTGGTTATTGGCAACTTAGCTACTTACTGCGGCTGTTGTCCATTGAAATATAAAGAGTGGTTGCAGTAAGTTCTGTTTTGCAGTTACCAGTTCCAGTTACTCGGTTAATGGCGGGTTCACGTTAATTCGAACTTGCATTCTAATTTCCCCAGAAAATGAGTTCAAATTAATGTAAACTGCAAACTTCTAGAATTCGAGTAACTGTGATTGAGCCTGTAAATGTTCTGATCATTCCAGTATCTGACTAGTGTGTTAGATTGTGGCTCGCTTGCAGTGGTCAAGTGAGGTATTGTTGAAAGTGGTCTGGGAAAATAAGATGTCAAGGTTTTCTAAAGTTTACCCTTGCCACTTAAGGTTTGTTGGCTTATGTTGTTCCCGTGAGCGCCTATGGAATATGACATCTGTAATATACAACAGTGCATAATTTTGGAATGTTCTTAAGAATGAAAACTGGTTGTATAAAGTTGGAAATCTAGTCTATTATGCAGTGAATATTTTCACTCTTATTTTCTGTTTGTAGAGATGCATCAAGCAGAATCTGAATCGTTCCATCCTTAAAGACATCGAGTCAGAGGACTGGCAGTGTTTTGTGTGCAATGGAAAGCCTCTTTGGGAACTGCGTGCCATCTGTGTGAATGCTCAGTCATATTCTATGAAGATGAGGTATGCATTGTATTTTTATGCTCTGGTTTTAAGTATAGGGTGTGTCTGAAACCTGAGGGTCACCATGAAGTAGCAGATCAGTACTAATGATACCACAGAAATATATCATTGAAAGAATCAATCAGAAGATGCTGTGACAGATTCCATTGTGTCAGGGTATATATTATTTATCCTGCGCAGATTAAATGTTTACTCCTAGGATGAGATGCCAGACTGTCAAAGGACATTTCAATTTAATCTCTGACTTATGTAATAGCAGAGTTTATTGTGTAAAGCAGTGGTCCCCAACCTTTTTGTGCCCTCGGGCACATTTGAGAGTTTATAAGATCGTGGTGGGCACCAACCAATTAACAAAGCAAAATTTTCTTTTCTCTGGACAAATAAGATATGGACACCAAATAATACACAAAACAACAAGACGTTTAATGATACAAGAAACCACGCAATCAAAAATACGTACTTTTATAAGTGAAATTATTATTACTCAAGTGGGAAGTTGGTGTGATGTTTGGCGCTGCATTTCATCGGCCAGTTTTTCAAATTTGGGAGTGTAGGATGATGTTGCTGCTTGCAAACAATCGTCAATATGGGCGTCAGTAAGCCGAGATCTGCGCTTTGATTTTATAATGTTCATGGTTGAACGGCCTTCATTATTCAGTATAACCTCTTTCCGTAACAACGCGGGCACCCAAAAAAAAGTCTTGGCGGGCGCCAGCGGACACCGCGTTGGGGACCCCTAGTGTAAAGGTTGGTCCCTCCACTCTGGTGAAGTTGTGATTTCCAGTATGTGGAGAATACTAGGGCCCTTCTGTACTTCTGAGCTTCTAAGCTATGGTTCTCTCTGCCAGCTATAACATCATTGAGAGAGAAATCTCACATGTATCAACCTCAAAAAGGGATTCAGTCACATATATTGCTGAATAGAACTGAGTAAGAAGATGGCTGTCTTCTGGATTGTAATGCGATGTAGTCTGGTAGTGTGCCTTAATGGTGGAGGCAGCAAGGACCTCTTAAACATTGGTAAACTTCTACCAGACTACATGGCGCTACAACCCAGAAGAGCCATCTTCAGCCTCACCACTGTGAAAACCTCAGATCATAATTAGAGAACTGAGTAAGATTACAACTGAGACCATTTATCATCAGTATTATAAAATGAGTTGAAGATTCAAGGTTCTCATGACAAAGATGTTGACCGTGGTCATCTGGGTTGTGGTGCCGGGTGGTCTTGTAAGTGGTTAATAATGTTTTGGTGGAATGCATTCCCTCCAACCTTCAAGATGGAGTCAATACATTCTTTTGAACATTGATAACCACCTTCAGGACCACATGGCATCACAATCCATATGACCGTGATTGACTGTAAAATTGAAGTTTATAAGGCCAGAAAATGAATATAAATGCAGTATATGAAGACTTTACTTTTAACAACCAAATATAGCTCTGTGTGTTGGTATATGGGGTTTTCATTTGTTTTTGGACCACCTAGCCCACTGTCATGCTCCCGGCAGCTCTGCCTTCCCTCTGTTGCCTGGGCCGTTGCAAACACGGTGAAAGAAAACAAAATAAGCTGTGAGACAAACCTGCTTGTTCAAAGGAGATGTAGGAGATTTTTAAAATATCCCGTTGTGCTTCTAAATGTGCATTGCAGCATGAGAACTCAGGGTCATGTGTTGCAGGCCTGTTGGAGAAACACTGGATATTTCTTGAATATTTTCTTCAAGTTCATGTAATGTGTGGGGATTTCTTTTGTTCACTTTGTCTTTCAAGATACCTCATAAATGAAAATTCCATGGCATGAGGTCTGGAGAAGAAGCATGCTATAAGTGTTCACTAATAACTTTCTTGCCAGACACATCACCTATTACAGCCGTGGAGTTACCAGTTGTGTGCGTCATTGACAAGTCCTGTTGAAAGTAACCATACCACTGTAGTCTTTCATTCTCTGTTAACTGTGAGAAAAACCTGTTCAAAATAAAATTAATATACCTTTGTAACTTAAGTATATCCATGGTCAGTTTTTTTAGTAAGTAAAGTAAAGTAAAGTAAAGTAAAGCTGCCCCTCTATACGCCATGTAGGCGCTTGGGGGGAGTGGAGGTATAGCTCCTACTCATTCTTGACCTCGGCACTAGATGGGGTGAGTGGTCAGCGTCACGCCCCGGCCGGCTTTACCCCCGGGAAAGGACCCTGGTACCCATTGTAGAGGAGGCTGGGTGGGCCCCAGAGCCAGTCTGGACGCAGAGGCTACAGGAAAAATCCTCTGCCCCCGTCGGGGATCGAACCCCGGCCGTCCAGCCCGTAGCTAGTCACTATACTGATTGAGCTATACCGGCTTTTTTTATTTTACACTAATTCCACACCAAACACCAACTTTTGGATTATGATGTAATGAAGAACTGTAGGGTTTTCAGGGGACTGGTATCAGTCATTATGTGTGTTCACGTGCATATTTAAATAAAACGACGCTTAATCAGTAAGAAGCAATAATTATGGGTCAAGTATATCTTCATTCACTGATTGGATAAGGCAGTTACAAAAATTTGTCCATGTATCTGGGTGCAATGAATACACCTGTATTGTTTTGTATGAGTGAAGTTTCACTAATTTTTTTAGGTGTTTATTTGTTGAGAAGACTGAAACATAAGTTTGCCGAGCTAGTTTTGCAAATGGTTTTCTTGATGAACGCTTCAACATTGCACCAACATTATCCCGTTTTTCTTCAGTCAGTACATGGCATTTTATTTTTACTTTCTTATCCAATGTCGAACCCATAGTTTTAATTTATTAACCAAACGTTGGATGGTACACCTTCTAGGAATATTAGCACCAGGGAATTTTTGTTGAAATTGTTTATGGCGTACACGAGCTGAATTGCTTTTCACATAACCGTTGTAGATGAAAATGTTTTGTTCTGCTAAATACTTATGTATAGTCGGCGCAGTAGTTTTTGGCCGGTGGAGAAGGTGGCGGACGGGCCTACTCTTGTGTACCTGCGGTGGCACGGTCAGCGTATTTCTTTTGTTTGGGCGTTCAGTCACACAAGCTCCTCGGCGCAGTTAGCATTATACTATCGCAAAAGAGACTCGCTTCTAGCCTTGACCTTGAAAATTTCACCGGCCAAAAAATACTGCGCCGACTATACCATCTTGAACACTGTTAAGAACCTGCACTTAGCGTGAACAGAATGCTCATATCTGATAAGGTCTGTTACCGGCAGCAGCATTCCGTTATATGTTTCGAATACAAAACAGCTGCTGTGTATATGTAAATGGTTATTAAAACTCCCTTTGTTTTTCCTTCTCCGTTTCTTTTACTACCATGGAACTCAGAAAGTTTGTAATTCTGTTTGTTAGATGTAGACAAGAAGGAAACCAGTGTAATATTAAACAGCTGAAAAAGAAACGGACTCAGTTAAAGCAGAAGTCACGTCTACTAAGTCAGAAGAATTTCAGCACTAAGAGCAGTTCTGATGATGATACAAGTTTGAATGAAATGCAGGTAACTTTTAAGGCAAATTATGACTTATATGATGGTAGGATGATTCGGGGGGGGGAAATGAATCATTTGGTTTCATGTTATAAGCTATGAGAGAGGAGCCATGAAGAACCCAGTGAGAATTTAATTTTATTTGGAAATTTGGTATGGTAAATATTGTGACAAAATTTGCTAGGTTTTCGGGTAACTGCAGGTTAGTTATCTGTTATTGTAGTATTCAGTGACTCCATATTCTCTGACACTTTATGTACAGATTTTGTAAGTCTTGCATTTTAATCGTGCTCTTGACACTAAATATAAAATCAAACCAAAGAAAAATGTGTATTACATGATCATAAATTGTTTAAAAGATGTATCAGAAACAGTGTGTGTGAGCACTCATGAACAAGTGGGGAAGGATTACAATTATTGTAGGCTGACCAGAAATATTAAATCTGTGCATGTCTTTTTTTTTCGGTCTGTGTGTCTGTGTCCACTTCCCCCTCCCCCCAATAGAAAATCAGAATTTATGTGGGAATGCAGATTTTCATTGTGGGTGGTATGAAGGGGCTGTCTTCTGGGTTATAGCACTATATAGTCTGATAGAAGTTCACTGACTTTAAAGTGGTACTTGCATTAACTTGATCATCAGAAACTTGAAACCCGTACTGATACATGAAATGTAATTTGAATTTCTCATGAATATCAAAATAAATATATTGAGGGTGAATATTATGCTACTGAATAAGGTGATGACTTGAAGCACAGCACAGCGGAGATTGTTAAACTTACGCTTTGTATCAGTTGGCAGTCTTTGGCCCTGAATTTATTGACATGGGTGCAGAGTTTTTTTGTTACTAATACAATGATATATAGAGACTACTTTGAAGTTAGTGCTGTATTTTGATGGGATTTTTACTTAAACATTTCTGTATTTGTGTAGCCCTAGGGCATATGTGTATATATGTTACGATAGCCGCCCATAGTTCTTTATGATTCACCCCATAATCATGAATCTTAGCCCATAACCTGATATAATCTTACATTACCATTCATTTCCAGGAGTTATCCAGGAATAGACGTAAACAGAATTTTGGTAATTCACTATCTGAGTCAGAGGAATGTGAGAAGAAAGTAAAAAACGGCTCTGTTACTGAAAACAATGCGTCAGTTTCGGATATAGGAGCGAGCACAGACAGTGAAGAAGTTAGCTCTGGCGATTTCAAGAAAAGGAGAAACCGTAAAAAAAAGTCTAAGCGTGAACTTAGTAAGGTAGGGCGCAACTCTAGTGCTGCTGAGAAAAGAAGCAAGACAGAATCTAAACAAGGAAGTGAAATTGCCGACAAGAAGAAGCTACCGAAAGAGTTGGAGTGGCTTGAAGAACGTGCAAAAGAACTCATTTCTGTGGGTGAAGACCTCTCACATCGAGTGCAGAGATGTTTGGAGAAGAAAGTAAATTTAAAGACTATGACTAATCCTAAGAATGTTGATGATGTAGTTAACAGTTTGCAGTTGTTAATTAAACTTGCTGGAGAGAATCTGGAGCATATAGAGGGTTTCCTTGCTTTGAACTACAAGTATTGGGTTAACCGTGTGATAAGGCATAGCTCTAAAACAGGTACAGATGTAGCCGATAGTAATCAGCAGGGCAATGAAGACGGGAGGAGCGAAACTATTACAAAGCATAGTCAGAGCAAGGAGGATTTGAGTGGGGTTGGTGGGAGCGACACTGAACTGCTTTCAGTTCCTGAAAACGAACGCGGTGATAATGGGATTAAAAACGGAGAAACAGATGAAGACCAAAAAGGTGCTGGTACTTCCAAGAGTGTAGAAATGGAAGGGGAGAACTCTAGAAAAAGGAAATTACCAGAAGAAACGAGTGATAGTTCTGATATGGAACTGGTGCGTGGTGCTGAGATAGAGGGAGATTCACAAAAGTCAGTGGCAGGAGACAAAAAAAGAAAGAAGCTGGAAGATGGATTGGAAATGGAGGTAGATGTGTCTGTAGACACTGATGTTAAGAGTACAGTGAATGACATCCAGAGCGAATGTGCTGTGAAGATGTCAAGTGAACCAGAAATTGACATGGAATTGGAAGATATATTAGAGGGAAAAACAATTAAAGACGCCAGTACAGATGTAACGGAGGATGGTGGAGATGCAGAGACTGAGAAAGCCAATGACATGAATGAGAGTTTTCTTGATATTTCATCACAGAATGAAGAGGTCATTGTTCCCGAGAAGCATGCTGAATGCAGTTCATCGCACGAAACTGCTGATGAAACGTCTCAGTCTGAAACGAACTATACTGGAAGTGGTGATACTGTGCATGAGATAGATGAAAAGTCTGAAAAGAGTTTTGAAAGTTTATCCACCGTACATGTTCAACGACACGAGCAGGACTTGCCAACACGTGAAGTTTCAGGCATTGTGAATGATCCAGAAAAAACTGCTATGTGTGTAGAAGATACCTTACAAGAAAATCAACCCAAAAAGTTGGATGAAGAGCAGGATTGTGCAAAAATAAATGTTGAAAGTGAAGCAAAGCGTGAGGACAGTGAAGATGCCCCAGTAGACGAGGTCAGTAATAATAAAGAGAATGAGGTGGTAAGTGAAAATGACAGTAACGGTAATGACGCATCAATGGATTTCCTGTTTGAAAATGAATGCGACAAAAGTCAGGGTGATGAGGTTGAAGGTAATGTGAATAATGATGAAATAGAGTCTGTTGAATCTTTAGCAGCTTATTTGAAGGCCACTATGAAGAGACCTCCAGAAGAAAGTAATAAAACTGAGGTATCTGATGGTTTGGGAAAGGATACCATAGCTGAAGTTCACTGTGCTCTTATGGAAGGTTCTGAAGAAGATAGAGAAGACTTTGAAGTACAAAACCATAAAACAGGAAGTGATAAAAGTGATGTTGAAGAAAATAAAATGGATACATCTGAAGAACCAGGAAAGTGCACCAAAGAGATAGATGAGAAAAAGAAATTGGAATGTGACTATGAAGAAGTTGAAACCAGTGGTATACGTAAATTGGAAGTGAATGATGATATGTCAGAATGTGAAGGAAAAGAAAATGTTGCTGGGAAGATTAAAGCAGAAGTGAATGAAGATACCACAGAAGATAAGGATAATGTGGAGGAAAAGACTGTGGATTCTTTGAATTACACAGAAGATTGTATAAAGGCCCAGCAAGCTCTTCTTGAATACTCAACAGATGATGAAGACAGTTGCGCAGAGGAACCGCTTAAAAAGATAAAGGAACGGTTAAAGAAAGCAAAGGAAAATGAAGTTGCCGTCTGTAAAGATACAAAACCTGCAAAAAAGCAGCGCTCTGGTCCAAAATCTCGAACACGCAAGGGCAAGGAAAGTACTTCTGCTGCGTCGGCATCTTCAGTATCCGATGTTGATTCATCGTGTTCCGTGCGAAGGCAAGACATTAAAGCGGATGGTGGTAGGGGGAAGAAGTTTAGATTGAAGGACACAGAAGCATATAAGCAAGGTGGGAAGTTAGGGTGGAAGTGTACAGTACTTGTGGAGCGTCTGCTTGATGAAGTATTCCAGAAATATTATGAGCAGTACTACAGTGATGGGGAAAATGAATGTGAGAAGAAGGCCAAGGATGATAAAGAAATTGACAGGTAAGATTACTTTGAGTGTATGGGCTCTGGGCACTTCAGCTCTCAGCATGTATACTGCAGTTAAAAAAGAGTTGATTTATTTAAATGTAGATTATTTCATATAAATGAATAATTTTTTACATTGATTTGATTAATTAATTAAATGGTGATTTGGTGATTGTGTTGACTGCGTTTCTTCACTGCATTTATTCATGGTTTGTGAAATCCAGAATTACCTTCAAAATACGTGTGGTTTTCAAATTTTTAAGTGTCTTATAATACTGTTTGAATTTAATTTATTTTGATCCTGGCTGTACAATTTCAGACAGAAAAGTGTGGTTGGAAGGAAGAGAACGAAAAACAGGAATAACTCGAGAGTCACAAAGGGATTTTGATTGCAGACTTTCCTCGCTTTTCCATTTTAGATTGGGTGTAAAAGCTTGAGTATAAAATATGTAGGACTTTATATATTCGTATATACATTCCGGGGGTCCAAACGTTAGTCATGCTGATTGTAGGATATTGAATAACTCATAAAGGTCAGAACGTACAGATGAGTACAGTTTAAAACATTAATTTTCACAGATGATAAAGGTCTAACTTAAAATTGTTTAAATGTTACACTAAATACACTGCTATACACCACTATACTTTTCGCATACTGTTGTATTTAATGCAGATTGTTTTCATTGAATTGTGCAGCTAGTTTGAAACTTTGAACTGTTTGTGTAGGTATTCATTTCTTATAGATGTTTATGATATTAGCATATTTATAAAACTTGTCATGGACCACCACCTGTCTCATCCAAGACTCTCCTGAGGTTTTTAAATGTGGCTAAACATATTGAAACATAGAAGTATTCAGGCAGTTTGTATGGGGTTTGTCATGGACATTTCAAGTTGTAATATTTCCATAAATGTATTGCTGCAGCATATTTTAAAATACGATTGTAAGCTTTATGTTTGACTTTGTTTGCCATATATATTTATGAGGGGCAGTCAGAACGTTCCCGGAATTGTGGTATAGCACTGTAATGGTAGGACATATGGCAACGCTTACCTAATCACCTTCAAAGTAGTACCCTTGCGCACGCGCACACTTGCTCCGTCGATCCTACCATTGTTGGAAGCACTGGCGGAAGGCTTCGTTTGGAATATTCCGGAGTTCGGCCGTCACATTCGATTTGATGCCCTCCATGGTTGCGAAACGCGTCCCCTTGAGGCCCATTTTCAGCCAGAAGTCACGTGGAGCGAGATCTGGAGAGTATGGTGGTTGGGTGATGGTGGGAATGATTTTCTCGGTGAGGAATTGCTGCACAACCAGCGATGTGTCGAATGCGACTACCATTACAGTGCTATACCACTATTCCGGGAACTTTTGACTGCCCCTCGTATATCATACTACTCTTACATATTGAGTTTCATTTAAGAAATGAGCACAAATTCACTTTTTTATTGAAATGGAGAGGACTCCATAGGTTAACATCATGATTTATCTTATGTTACAGAACATGTGGTCATAATGTTAGGCTTCTAACCTAAATGTTTGATATAGCAACAGAACATTTGTAAATCAAGGAGTTAGAATGACATTATGTAGTGTGCTAACCCTTTAAAGCCCATTTGCAATCATATGTACCACCTGCTGTAATAATCATTAATTCTGAATTTAATGTTTGTGAGTTTTGTATGATTTTTGGGGATTACTTATTTAAACAGCATTAGCCATTTGATCTTTGTAATGGGGAAATGTGTTTTCTTTGGGTTAAAGACTGACTTAAATGTTACTTGGGCGAGATCTGACTTCAAAGGGTTAAGCACAGTCTATATTTGCATCACTACAGAAGTTAAACAGTTTATTTAAGATTTTAAACTTTCAAGCAAGTGATTACACTAAAATTCTCTGTGACAGGCAGCTGCATCGAAGTTGAGTTAAGGACCAGTGTTTTGGACACTTCTGTGCCATGTGTGGTGAGACATAGCAGAGGTTTCGGAATGTTGATTTTTGCCGTACTTTGACGTGGCTCATTGCCTGAAAGGATTTTAGTGAAAGTTTCTTATTCATTACATGTATACTATTATTTTGGAGTTTTAGCACTAGACAGTCCAGTCTCTTTAATATCCGTGTAGTCTATATTCTTGTGTTTGCATTTGTAGTTTACTTAATTGCTGTGCTAATAAAGACATACACAAGACACCAGCTAAGTGTCTTGTTTTTGAAGTTACGGAAAGCATAATATATGGCATGGCTTAATGCTGGAAGTCAGCTTTAAAAGTAATTGGTGACTTAAATGTATTGAACAGTTGTGAAAAATAGTTATCAGACTATTGTACTGCATTGAGCAATGTGTACGATAATTCATTGTGAATGGCTGAAGATGGCTGTCTTGTGGGTTGTAGTGCCGTGTAGCTGGCAGAAGATTACTGATGTCTTATCAGCCTGGTGATGGAGGCAGCAAGAACCTCTGAAATGTTGGTGAACTTGTACCAGACTACACGGTGCCAGAAGACCATCTTTGGACTCACCACCGTGAAAACCTCAAATCCTACTCTGTTCAGAATGGCTATGACTAGTGGTTTTGTGAAGTTATTAATTTGTTGTTTATGTAAATTTTATGTTCCCATGTGTAGTTTGTACAAGGAGGTCCTTTGATTATGATGCCAGTTTTAATTTAAAAATACATCATATATAACTGATGAATATGCATGCGATGTAAAATTAGATGCTGGTAGCAGAATATATTTAATTTTCTGTTGTCATAGGACCTTCTTTTGAAATGTTTGCAATTTGTGTGTACAAAATTGTAATTATATATAAATATGTTTGGATTGGTGAGTGGGATTACTGATTATTGCTTAAATGTTTTTTTTTTTTTTATTGAGTGTGTGTACTGTGATACACTATTTTTCCTTAAATTAGTAGAGCTTACCTTATTTGCTTTTGTCCTGCTTTTGGTTTAGGTAGTGGTTGACTCATGTGGGATGTCTGGTTTAGAAACATGTATAGTAAAATCTTATTCTCTTATACTTTATGCATGGCTTGATGTGGGTCTGTGGATATTCTAAAGGTGTGATATTGTCAGTATTCCTACAAACTTTAAAGGTGTGGCTTTCAAAGTGTAAGATACAGAATTTGGTAGCTCGCACACGTCAAGTGTTATGTTTCTCTTTACACATTCTTGTTCATGTTAAGTACCTCTCTCTTTTACTCTTTTTCAATAATACAGTTTTATCTTTAATATTTTAAACATGTCTACTGATGAGGTTATGCAATTTGTCCTTTGTGAATCGTAATTGTGAAGTGCGCGTGACTACTGTCACATGCGCACTGTACGCCGACATCACTTCTGAAATGCCTGTGTGATACAGAATATACAGCGTAGGATTGTCCTCCTTGCTCCCCTTGCCGAAACAGATTATTTTAAATTTCAAATTTAGGCTTTCAGTCTTGGAAATACTGTTCTGATCAGTTTTGTTATGGTGGCAGTGTTTGTGCATGGTTGTAGATTTCATTGAAGTCTGAGGCACTGTCTTTCCTCCAGTACTTTCAGATATGTGTAATGTTTAGTGTAAATTATAAATGAATAATTACAGTTTTGTGATATTATGTGCATAATTTCCATTACTGTAGGTTTCTGCTACATGCACACGTTTTGTACCTAACCTCGGATATTTGTGTCATTGCCATGTTTATAATTTTTATGTCTGTAATTTATCTTCATACCATATTTAATATGTATAACCAGAGTGGTTCATTAGTTATACCTAAAGTGTTTTGCCATATTGATTTTTAACATTCTTCAAAGACCTGTCGTCACCCACAGTTTCGGTACTGTACGTCAAGTAATATTGTGTTGTTTTCCCTTCAGACGTTTGCATTTGTCATGTTGGAATTTCATATTTATTTCAGGTTGAAAAAATCTATCAGTTGTTCGAAAGGTTATTGCAGGGCCTTCGCATGTGCAAGCACCTGCACAGACGTGATAGTGCCTGTGTTCCTTGTAAAATTATGGACGCAGGAAGGAGGTGGATAACGGTTTATGTGAATTTACAGCATTGCAGGATTCAAGTTTTCTGTGTAAACATTGATTTGAAAAGGGATTTTGTAAATGGGTGTTTTGCTTATTTCTAGTGACTTCAGCATGAAATGTCCTTGATTTGTATAATGTATTGCAAGTACAGTAGAGCGCAGACTATCCGTTTTATGGGGATACTAATGTACAAGTAGGCATAACTTTGCTAGTGAAGTACTGTAGATTTGTGTTGGAACATGACCCTTCTAAGTTATTTCTGCCATCTTGTCATAGAACAGAGTTGCTCCAATGTTGTCAGCATTGAGTTGTTTACCTTTTATTTGTAACTCTGTTATACCATGCCTATCTTTAAAGAAGAAAATTTAAATGTTCCAGGAATCTGTCATTTCTTGAAAAATTATTTTGCCTTATTCATAATTATTGGAGTTCCTTCTGCTTCTTGTTGGAGGAAGTCCTTTATCATGACAGAATCAAGTTGCTCATTTGTCACACCTTCCATAAATTTTCTTTGAGAAACTCCAGCAAATTTCCTACACTTTAATTCAAAATTTCAAATCTTGTCCTGATTTTTTTACAATATCCTGCACAGTTTGTTGCCAAATTCCAAATGTATTGGCTAGGTATTTAACACTTTGTCCTTGCTTGTGTCCATTCATAATTTTACTTTTCTTGTCGATCATTAAAACAATTTGTTTTCTCAGCGTTTTGTATATGCATAAAACAACTCAGAGTAGTAGGATTTGAGGTTCTCATTGCAGTGAGTATGAAGATACCTGTCTTCTAGGGTTATAACACTGTGTAGTCTGGTAGAACCAGTGTTTCAGAGGTCCTTGCTGCCTCCATCGTCAGGGCAATGTGGCCTCAACACAGTCTGACACAACACTGGGGATGTGTATTATATGACTGGTCACTAAATCTGACATTAGGTTAGGTTGTTATGACAATACACACAAATTGACTACCAAGAATGCTAATCAGTATTACTGCATCGATAAGCATTTGCCAAAAGATGACGATGTGTGCTGTTCATTGTAAAATTTAAGTGGAGTGATGAGTCAATTTGAACTCGATGTAAGACTGTTGTGAGTAGTTGATAAAAATACAATTACATATTGGAGACAATCTGAGAACACAGATAATCAGTGATCTTCTGTATAATTTTCTGATATCTTAACACTTGTGCACTGAATACAACTTTACGATATTATGTAGCCTTTTTTAGTTCACTTTCGTTATTTTGTAAGGATATAAGTGTTTCTGGTATGATGTTTATTTGTGTACCTTGCATTGTTTGAACCACTTGATATATTTTTATGAAACTTGGTATGTGCATAATGTTGCTAGAGGTCACCCACCTCTGTAGTATAATTTTCTGCTATCACTTATATTGAGGTGAAAGTGCACCACTTACTGGGGTAATACTTGTAGGATGAAATATATTTAGCATTCAGTTTGACAGTGATAAGCAGTGAACCATTGTGGTTAGGCATCTGAAGTTTTGTATGGAGACCACAATGATAGAATCTGTACTAGTGGAAATTTTGCATACAAGCGGTATATTGAATAATGTAATTATTACTTTATAGATTAGAACATTTGAAGGAATGTGGATGTCACATCATATGTCAGGTAGGTGTTGTAAGATCCACATGGATTGAAATATATGTTTCTGAACATTCATTAAATCTTCTTGCGTCTTATTTTGCCCTCAAAATGTGGTCCTTTCTGGAACTTCCTTGTATTAGTAGTTACAGCACCTAACTGGTTTCAGTAGTGACTTCTGTTTCTTTAGAAAACTTTTCAGTGGCTGTTTAATGTCTCCATCTAAAAGAAATTTGCTATATGTATCTTTATCATTGTCCACAGTTTGGTCAACTTAAAGTCATTGAAGAAAGTTAGAACAAAGAAATGTGACATGGATGAAAGTGATACAGAAGATTCTGATACAAAAGGCAAGAGAAGGGCAAAGAAAAAGATTGGGAAATCTAAAACGAAAGAAGAGCAGAAGTTGATCGATTTCTTCAATCAAATGGATGATGATGGTAAAACGTGCATAAAGCACTGTAATTTACGATACTTGTGTAATAGCCTCTCCCCCTTTTTTTTTGCCCCTTTTCCCCTTAGAGCATGAAAGTGGTCATATAAGAATGAAGTATATCGTTAATGGAATTTTAAAGTATTTACAGATATATTTCTTTTGCAGAATGATAAGTCTCATTTTAAACTGTACCATGTATTTATTGTATTTTCCAAACATCATACTCGCACAAGTGCTCGGTTATATGCGTAATCTTCATTGCTCTCACAGTGACTCTGCTTCTTTAATTTACGTTGTAACGCAGTTGTATGATGCCTTTGTAACGAATGTCATGCCTGCTTTGTCCCTGTTGTATTTAATGCGCTCTGAAGGTGGTAGTTGTGAGTTTTACAAACTTGAAACATGGGTGTTAACATTGTTATTATTTTCATTCCCTTTGTGGTGATAGAGAAATTGATATAGATGGATAACGGTGTGTGCTGAAGGCTGCTGCAACGACTGTTAATGAGGACATGTGCAAATGAAGATACGCACCAGAGTTGCCCCGAGACAGTTTAAGCATATTGTTTTGAAACATCTCTGCTGACTCTTATCACTACAAAGGCTGGCAGTCAATCTATGGGGATGTTGAGGGGAGATGAAGGGAGACTAGTGTAAACAGCAGGAAGTTAACGACCGGTACATAAAAAGAATTTTAATACAAAGTTAATCAAATGTCATTTGTATCATAGAACTTGAACTGTACAGCATTCCAGTGGGAAAGGAAGACTGCAGCAGAGACGTTGATAGCGATAGGGTCGGGAGAGGCTGTTACATTGTGAAAATAATCTTCTGTTTCATCATCTTCAGTTGATTGGATCAGTTATGGGAAGGCAAATACACAATTATTTATTATATTTTCATAACTGCCCTCATTGTACTGATTTCTTCTTCCTGAACAGTACACACACGACATTGTACTATTATGAATGTGCCCAGTCTGTCAATCCCCCACCCCACCCCACCTTGTCCAGGTGCAATTTTCAACAGGATGCTTTGAATCGTGCAAATGAATGCTGTCATTCTCTGCTGATGAAGGTATGTTGTGCACAGCAAGGAAAGCTAAGAAGTTCATCTGAAACTCTGGGCTTACACAGATCATGTGTTATTGATACTTGGCACGGTTTCCCTTTTCCCCTCTATCTCGGTTGATATTTACCGAATGGTAACATTTTAAACTTTATTCTTGTGGCACTCTTTATCTTAATCCTGGTAGCGTGAAGCCCTGAAGAATTCAGTACCTGTCTTATCGTAAATTAATATGGAATCTGAACTAATTTAGATAATCCTGATATTGATACCCTTATTGCACATTTGATAATGTTAATTTTCTTAACTTTTTTATATTTAAAACAGGTTTATAGATAACATGGATTACTTCAGATTCCGCATTATTTGGTCTTTACGGTGACGGGTAAACAAAGTTATAGAACAAATGACTTGAAAAGTTTTTTTAAACACACACTGAAGGGTGAATAATTTGAAATGACACAGTTCTTTTGATGATAATGTCTTTCGTAGATGACAGCTTGAGTTCAGATGCACCAGATTCTGAAAAAGAGGTCATGAAAGCCATGAGACTGAAGAAGAACTTTCTTGAAAAGGAAAATGAAATGGCAATGAAGATGCTGCTTGGAAGTTCCACTGATGATGGTGGTAAGGAGTACTAAAGTCTGTCTGATATATTTAGCTCCCTGGTAGATTCCCCAAACGCTTCTATAGATGATGTTCTTCTGGGCTTTGGCGCTGTATAGACCCGGTAGATGCCAACATTTTGGAGAAATATGTCTCCATTTTCAGCCGTAAAGATGGAGACAGTATATTTCTCCAAAATGTTGGTATTTGTTGGTGAGTGTACGTTATACTAAAACCCATATCATCATCATCATTCTCGCTGCTATGAAAATATTCAGTGTTTCGTGTTAGGTTGGGATTTTACTGTTTTGTAAATTGTAGTTTGTTTCTCTGTAAGGTTTAAAAACCTGAAATGGATAGACCACATGGAAGACCAGGGTGAAGATAGGACAATCTTAATTTGTATCTTTGGGAAATCATGTTGGAGTGGGTAGGCTGAATTTATTTGGCCCAGCATGGGGACCAGTGGCAGGTTCTTTTTAATCTTGCTAGTGAATCTTGAGGTTCCATAAAATGTGGGTAATTGTTTGACTGTTAACATCTTAAGAAGGACTGTTCTCTGTGGAGTTAGAGTTTGTCCTTCCATTTTAAGTCCAAAAATATCTCATAGCTGTGTTGATCTGTCTTGTTGGTAACTTCTGACATTTTGTGTGCCCTGCATGATATGCCTTAGGACGATGACATTACATTTTTCTGTATTGATATTTATATATCTACTTGGGCTAGCTTTTAGGTTGTAAGGCCTCCCAAATTCTTTTCATTTGCTATTTAGCTGTCGTCTGTCAGACTAATCTCAGTGTTGGTTGCTGATTCTAGTTCTACGGAATGTATTACATTTCTGCTGGAATATTGTTCCCCATTGTTATTTTTTGGAAGCCTCCGGATTTCTATATCCGGTTTCTTGTATAAGTGTTCTGCTTTGTAAAGATAGAGAAAACTGAATGTGCTGTATTTCCTGAATGTTTAACCATCACCGATCTGTAGTTATGTTTCTTGTTCCTATTTTTGATGACTTGTTCTCTCTGACCAACACTAGTGGTTGGGCACTTGATTACAGAAAACTGAGGAAGTTTTATTAACAAATTTAAATACAGTGCTGATTCCATTATCTTCACACTTTGTCAATCCAGTTTTATTTTTTCATGAAAACATGGATGGCAAATGGGGTCTGGAGATGGTAATGTGAGTTGGTATCTTATGTAAATATTGTCTTCTTGTGAAGTAATTTTTACACTTCAATCCTGAAGATGGAGACAGGATGCTTCTCCAAAACTTTGGCGTCTACTGGCCAGTCCACACGGCACTAGAACCCAGAAGAACGTTATCATGAGTAACCTAGTAACAGGCACTGCAGTGCATAAGTTTGGGGTTTCAGACTAGTTAAAGTGAGCACAGGTTTTTCCACATAGCTCTCTTAGATTTCAAACTTATGATGAGGAATTATGAAGCCCCTCATTGTGGTTTGGAATCCATATTAAGTTGTAGGTTCTTGATGGAAGCCATTGTCTTCATAATCATGCCACCTTAGAAATAGGTCCTTCACTCATGCCAAGCAGCCAAAGAACAGAGTCATTTTACAGTAACTGGAAGCATTAAATATATGACAAAAACAACTGTAAAGTAATTCTTTTAATCTTGATAACAGTATCATAACACATTAAGTTTGATGAAAACATAAAGTATCAGATTGAATATACAGTTGAATTATATTACATAAGAATGCAATTGAATAGTTTTAAGCCCTTATAAATTATTTTAGTTCTGAGGTTTAAAAAATTAATAAAAACCTGATATAATAGTCACTTTTCATAAAATGTTTTGCACTAGTACTTGGTGATGAAAATTTTACGTTCCTGATTTGAAAAATTATCAACCCGGCGGATAATGGGATAGTACCTTAAAATGGGTTGTAATTGCTTTCTTCCACATCGTTATCAATTCATCACAACTGTGCAATTGTAAAGTATCACATCATGGGGTTGATTTTTTTTTGGGGGGTGGGGTAGTGCGTTAAATCTTGTGTAACATGAGGCAAGACCAGGATTTGTGAGATTTGATTGTTTTTTGTTTTTTTTTGCAAGATTCCAGTGAAAAGGAAGATGATCCTGAGGAAAAAGAAAAGTCAAACAAGAAAGCAAATAAAGAAACTGAAGATGTTTTGAAGGAAGAAGAGAAGAAGAAGGAAGTTAGAGGAAAGAAGGCAGACAGTAGTAGCACTGATGATGATTTCCTTTATGATTCTCAGGTAATTCAGAAAACCCAAACCCTTGTAAGGTGGCTATATCTGATGAATTGTTCTGCCTACCCTCATGCATAAATTTGAATTGTCATTATCGTAGTACGGAGATTCAAATAACCTGTTGTCATATGATAAAGTTCAGTACCAGAATTTTTTTTTTAATTTTTATATTTTAAATAAGTATGGTTAAATATGTTAGTAATAATTAGATTTGTAGGCCGTTATTTGCGTTATAAAATACGGAGCAAAATGGGGACCAGGCCTTGGAAAACCCACCGCATTTTCATTCCCATCCATTAATCAGAATCAGTTGACCACTGACTTACCTAATATTTGACATCCTGTGATTTCACATCATAACAAAGGCACAATATATGCATGACTATTTTCTTAGATTAAAAAGGCCACACTTTCATATTATGGTGAAGGTCTTTGATTTTAATTCACTAACAGGTGAGAAACGTAGAGTAAAAGCATCTAATTTTTTGCTAGGGGAAGTTGTTTGGCTTGTCAAAGAACAAGAGAAGTGGGAATCACCTTTCTGTCTTTTTATAAAGTAGTACAGTTGCTGTAACAGAGGTTGCAGGCTTCTGCTGATATTCATTCTCTCTCTTCTGTGATTGTTTAAAGTAAATGCCATCTCATTTAACAGTGAATTTTCAGTACAGTTAGTAAGGAAACAGTAGTTACTTGAACTATAATATAACATTTATTTATCCTTTAATCTTCCTCCTGTACTCATGTAAGGGTGTTGTAGGTATATACTATATTTTTTTATGTTGTCGAAATCATTAAAACAGAAGAAGAGGGGCTGGCGTAACGACAAATTGCTGACAGAGAGGCTGTCAGACCTGAATACAAGTGATGAAGAACGTCGATGGGAAATGAAGAAGGAGAGAGAGCAAAAGGAAGATAATAAGTAAGTTTTATACAATTTATTGCGAATTAAGTGGCTGTAATCTCTTGAAATGCTTGCCACAATTGCAAGTTTTGTTTCCAGCTCCTGATTCTACGTTTCATTTTCCTTAACTCTCTTCGCGTTCATGAGCAAAGCTGGTTGTGCGTTGAGCTTCAGTTTCACCACAACGTTCTGGGAGAGGGTAGATGATTATGAAGAGCTGATTGGATAAATTTTGGGAGGAAGCTGTCTTGTCATGTTCTAAGATACCCTTCTTCCATTTTCTTAAATATATACTGCCTCAATCTTCAGGCAGGCTGACTGTGTTCTGAAACATCGGTAATCAGTCATGTGCAGGACCATTATTTTCATCTTAATAGCCACATTTCTTTAGAAAACATCTTCATTCTTTCTCATTTTGAAGGTTTGGCATCTCCGTTCGACTTATTTGCAGACTCAGCCAACCAATTTTTGCCATGAAGAGTTTGTACGCCTTTCTCATAGTCTTTATCTAGTTTTATCACCCCTTACAATTTAAGTAGAACTGTTCGTATTAGACTTATTTTCCTTTTCTTTCTATAGCATTGTTATACATTTACTACAACTGTTGATTTCTTTATAATATGATTTACAGATTATCATGATTATAATTTTGTTGCTTGTAGGAAAAGTATTAACAGAGTTTAATCTCATACAAGTTGTTTCAAGTAGTCTCTGACAATGACATAATGGAATGGATGGGAGAGAAATAAAAATGTTGGTTCACCCATTTCAGGATGATTATAAATCACATTACATTGAGGCGGTAATAATACTACAGTAATGGATGAAAGGACTGTACACCATAACATGCATACTGATTAATCTGGACATGAAAAGCATATATAATAAGATTGTTAAGTCAAAGAAATCAAAGTTAAATATTTTTCAGTAATGAAGCATGTTATGGTGTAAATACTTAAAAATCGTATTGCTGTTGGAATGAATTCTGTCTTAAACAGTGACAATAGCAGCAGCCTATGTTTGTTAAATTGTGTTAGAAATTCTGTTCTGAAATGCCCAGTGGGTTAGAACTGCTTGTTAGATTTCATTGTTAAATAATTAATTCAGCGTAACACTTTTCATTCTTTCATAAGTCTTGCAGCAAAGCAAGTTCTAGAGCGAAGGAGTAATGTGTTATATGAATGTGACAGGCAGAACAGTGTTCTACTTTGGTGTTTTGTAGGGACTTTGGTTCTTGCTTCCTGTGCTGAAGGTCTCTGATTCTGTAAGGCTGGCCAGAGCCATAGTAGATTTTTCTGCTTTCCAACTTTGTCCCTCATCCTGCAGAAATTTGTGTGGGAAGTGACACATGCCAACTTGTATCATGGTTCATGATCCATATTAAACTGATGTTTCCCTCACCTGGCTGTAATCTTGTCATCGTATTATCAGGTATAGCGAAATCACTGCACAGGTGTTTGTACCTCATAGAATGAGTCCCTCTACATCACCAAGTAGGAAGAGGCCGGGAAGGTCAGTAAGACCATAGTTGTAAAGGCTGCCATTCACGATCGCAAATGGCACGGTGTCGCTCCAAAATTGTACCGTGAATGCAGAAACTGAAGTCCATTGGCGTGGCGTGGTGGGCTCGTTTGGATATTCTGTCGAGCCATAATCCATCCGATCGCTCCATCACTCCATCGCGCCATCGTATCGTGAATGGGGGAATCGGCGATCGAGCCACTCCAAATCGGTTCGTGAGTGGCGGAAACGTGGTCCATTCTCATGCCAGTCTGCCACGAGCCTTCGTCCAGTGAAGTCCAAACTTGTATAATGTCGGGTCATGAGTTTGTTATTGAGGTGATTGAGAAATATAGAGAGTTGCCATGTTTGTGGCAGATAAGTAATGAAGACTATCATGATAAAGCTAACAGAAGCTTAGCAATGGAAGAATTGGTGGTTTTATTTAAAACCAAAGATCCTACCGCCAACAAAGAAAATTCCCTTAGAAGTTGCTTCAGAAAGGAGCATAAGGACTTAAATTGCTTCTATTTAAGAGCCATTGCTTTGACCACTTTCGTTTTGGTTTTTTCCTTTTAATATACAGGCATACTGCCATAGCTAGTACCAATTCTTCGTCCATCGCAAACACCCCGCACTTCACAGAGGGACAACAAACCGCGACTGGCGTGACGCGACCGTGAATGTAGTACCTCTTTGGACGACATCCGTTTGGACGTCATCCATTCGGATGTCATCCATCTGGAGCGATCGTGAATGGCGGCCTTAAGTGTCTGCCTCAAGCACAGCCAGCAAGTTGGAGTTTCACGGTGGAGGCCCGTGTTCAGTTCCATATTTGTTTTGGGGTGATCAGAGTGATACTGGAACTCTTTTTCTCTTTATACCCCCCACCCTAATAATTTAAAACCATCCACCACTGTTTCAAGTGTGTGTACAAGCTTTGCTTTGCTTTGCGTGTCGCATCTTCTTCCTTTGTCTGTGTTTCATCCTTTCCCCAGTTCCAGTAAGAACCTCCTCCAGTTTACTTTTAGTTCCATATGAGATATAAAACAGTGAACTTTGGTTGAAATAAATTTCTTTCCTTGTATATAATCTCTGCCATAATAATATGAAAAGACTTGTTAAGATATATGAGAGTAATAAAGTACTGGTGCATAAAATATGAATGTGTGATATGTAATTGAACACTTAGCAGGATAATGGTTCTTAAAATGCACAGAAGAAATATGAACCGTAATTAATTCATTGAGATTTATTGGTGATTTGCTGAATTTGTGAAGTAAGCCTTTTGTTGTTTATCTTCTCTCTGTATTTGTATTGTCTCGTAATGGGGTGGATTGGCCTGTTTGCATAAGTAATTCTATAGCTTCCCAGTTATGTAGTTAGATGTTTCTTCACTGAAGGGCTGTTATCATGTACAATATCCAGTATCTACAACCACTTCGTTTCTCATAAATTTTGACATACATGTTTCAACCAGGTGCTTGGGGGAGAGGAGGCATAGCTCGTACTCTTTGAACTCTGTATTAGATTGAGGTGATTGGTCAGCGTAACACTTGTGTCATGCTTTATCCCCGGAGAAGTGACCCGTGGTACCCATTGGATAGGAAACTAGGCCTCAGAGCCAGTCTGGATGCAGAGGCTAGAAGAAAAGTCTTTTGCCCTGCTGGAGATTGAACCCCAGCATCCAGTTCATAATCAGACACTGTACCAACTGAGTTTCCATGCCTCACTCCTCCCCCACATGCTGTTTCTATGTATATGCACTCTGTGCGTAAAACAAAACACTGATAATTATCACTTTGCTGCTGTCGAATCTTATTGTCAGCATTTGTTGAAGTGCCAAACCGTATTAGCTTTATGTGTCTTGCAGAATCTGCTTTCATAGAAGTCTTCTTGGCCATCTTCTTTCTCTGCATTGGTATTTTATTTTTATTTTGAGCAGACATGCCTCTTCCTTTAACATGTTCTTTTCCAAATTCTTATTTATAGTATCAGTCTTTGGTAACACTTTTCTGCTGTCATTGAACAGGAGTGGATGCCCCACTTGAGTGTGACATTAATGACAAAATCAAGACTGTTGGGTCGTAACCACTGCCACTCAGTCAACTTTAAACCCTGTGATCAGTAGTAATGATGTACAAGTTGCGTTAGGAAGAAATAGTAAAACAGTTTAATCGAATGCTAGGGCAGCTTTTTTAGCTGTGCACACAAATAAATTGCCTCACATTATCATTGGTTTTCAATATGGTGTATATATTTCATGTATGCTTCTCCCATCCCGACTTCTTTAACAGGTTTTACTGAGTGTGCACCAGTGCAACGATACACTCATCCACACGCCAACCACACTTTACGTTTTCTGTATGTCTTGTGTTCAGTTTAGAATTCAGTTGTTATTTCTAATTTGATTGTACATCAAATGTATCTGCCGCTTTAATCCTGAACTTGCTATTAGCAACTTCTTCTTGTGATATATTGTAGATTGTCATCTGCCAGAGAAGCTTTTATTTGCAAAAGATGCGAGCTCTGTGTTCCAGTGTCATAACTCCTTTTTGCAGCAAAACAGAGCAGATAAAAACAGAAATCCACTCTGACTGGCCTTCCTTCATACAATTAATCTGAACAAACATGTTACACGTGCACACAGGAGCTCCCATGTCATAATTCAGTAAAGAAAAGATTGGAATATTTTGGAACTGATGTGCTGATTGTGATAATTGAAATTATTCTTGATTTCTCATATTCTCAAATTACAACACTCATGCTCTGTTTACAGGCTACAATTTAAGGGTGGGCATAAATGTAAGGTGGAATTGTACAGTCCAAAATAATGGAAAAAGTTAATATGAACATGGGTCTTGAAAAGCCCTCTTTTACTCCTTGAAATTTTCGAAGCCAGCATCGTGCTTTGTTGATTATGCGCTCAAAGTGATGCCGTACAGTGGAGGCCAGAGAGCAAGAGGGGAGTGGTGTGAAAGCCGCGCAGAACAGTTCGATAAATTTTTTGGCAACGCACCTCAGCATCAATAGCACAGACACTGCTAGTGCCATTTTTGATTTAGTTTACAGGATCCAAATTCCTTGTCTATGCTGTATCAGTTCTATTTAATTTGTTAATGTTATCCAGTGGCAATGTTAAAAAAATCTGATGATAAATACTGTTTAAATAGCACATTTTTAGTGTTATAAACTAAATAAATCTTCAGACTTACCGCCGCGAAAACCTCAAGTCGTAAATAAATTCTTGTTAAATTTTTCATGATAATGAATGATTATTCAAATGTCTGCTCCAAGTGCAGAGGGGAAGAAACAAAGTGTGACGATACTTCATTAGAAATTTCAGAAAGGAAAGAAGACTAACTCAAAAAGAAGACTCTTCTGGACTCGTGTTCATGATAACTGTTTTCTTTGTTTTGATGGTTAGAACTAACCCCCCCACATTTGTGCCAGACCTTTAAGTTACACTCTGTATATATGTGCCACTAATGTTTACATATTTTTCATTTACCCCTTTGACAGAATTTGATTGCAAGATACTAAGAAGTGTCATATCGGCATGTTTATTTCGTAATGTGTGGGAATTCTGTGACACTGAAAACTTGTGTTACTGCTGTAGGTTATAATTAGTTTTTTTTTAGAAATTAACCAACCTCTCTACTTGTAGTGATTCTGAAGAGAACATCAGGTGTAAGAAGAAGTCCAGGTATGGTTCAAGTTCATGTGACTTGTGCATGAGCTGTCATTAGTGACTAATTATTACTGTCCATCCTTACTTCTGCAACACTTATTTTAGTTTTGTAACTCATTTTGGACGTCTGTAGTTAAACTATTATTTCTATATTAACATCTGTTGTATAATTTCCTTGTACACTTTCTCACTTTTTTTCCTTTAACAAAATAATAATTCTAATTACAATTTTTCAAGGCTTAAAATATCAGTTTAAACCTCTAAAGGTCAGGTTTCTTGTCACCGCTGTCAGCCAGGTGTTTAGAAAACCATATATTATATGTCTGTTCTGAGTTCAGGATGACAAAAATGTTTTGCTTTGATATACTTCAAAATTAATAGAGGAACCACAAAAGTTATGCTTTGCGTATCAGTATCTCTGAAACATGGAAATGAAGACAGTATATAATTTCAATTCTTGTAATGTAGAAATCAAGCTACTCGTGGCAAGATATTTGGGATATTTGGCTGAACTTGAGACTCTGACAAGTGTCATATGGTATATTTCTGATGTTTTGTTTGGGTACAATGTTTCAATTGCATTAGTATGCACCACCACTATTCAACAGCAGTTTTACATATGGGTATGTATGGCGACTAGTTATACTCACCAGGTGCCCTAACTTGAAAACTAAGGACTTCTGGACCCACGTTTATATGTACTTTATAGTTTAAATGCGTCATGTTTGTGTTTTAAAATTCAAATATATAATATAATTCAAGTCTATACACAAACTTTAAATTGTTGATGTTAAAATTTAATATATCAATATTAATTTTAAATTTTAACATCAACAATTTAAAGTTTGTGTATAGACTTGAATTATATTATATATTTGAATTATATGTACTTATATAATTGTTTTTTTGAGTGTTGAACTCACCACTAAAATGTGTATACTGAATACCGACTCTGTATATTTTATTTCTGTTATCCCTATGTATTGACACCTACTGCTCTATCTGCATGAACTATTTAAATCTGCGGTGTTAGCTTTTTCACAGGATTTGTTCATGTTGCTGTTATGTTTTCAATCACTCACCAAAAGCAGATATGTGATCCTCAAGGCATTGTTTCATGGTTCAGGGGTTAAGATTGTTGGTGATGGTGTGATACATAAAGGTAAGGTTGTTTGAAGAAGTCAAACCTGGTCGTGATGAACACGAGTGTGTCTCAAGGGTAAGAACTCCGTGATATGGTGGAAGCAGTTCATACGTATACCCACTGAACAGATGCCGGTTTCTTTGCCAGTGGGTATGAAACTGTACTATGACAATTTGACTTGAAAACTTCTTCCTATATTCCACCAGCCTCTCAGTACCAACAGTATTTTGATGTTAAATAATCCTGACTCATGAAAAAATGTCTACCGTGTTCATTAATGTGTTGTCTTTTTTTAACCGTCCTTCATATTAATGATATGTAGTATACAGTCTTTACATTAGTATAAAATTGTGATCCCTATCATAATAAGTAAAAACCTAAACTTGTTTCAGTTAATTCACTGATAAATGCACATTCTCATCTTTTATGCATTGATGAATGGCTTGACATGAAACTTACAACTTGCTACATCACTCATCGATACTTAGTCTTGCATAATTCAAACGATACTGTGCATCTGTCAACATGAAAGTTGTCTATTTTCCCCATTTTCAAATGTAAGGGTTTTGTGCTTCATTCTCAAAATGCACATTTAATGTCTCCTGAATTCTAAAGGTCATTGCCGGTTAAACTTCTTATGGGAGCTAATTGCACCATGTAGTCTAGTAGAAGTTTTCTGACATTTTAGAGGTTCTTGCTGCCTCCATCATTAGGGTGATGTGGTGAATAAACTCATCACCTTGATACAGCAGGCAGCAAGAACCTCTGCAATGTCGGTAAACTTCTACCAGACTACACGGCGCAGTAATCCAGAAGACAGCAATCTTCAGACTCACCGCTGTGAAAACCTCAAATCATACAACTCCAAAATGTGATGTTTTTGGAATTTGAAACACTGACTCAGTGTATTGGTGCTCAAAGAGACTATTTCGAAGGTGGCAGCAACAATTAGTGTTTCAGTGCTTAAATACAACTTTTACAGGGTCATTCCGAGAACTTAGTTGTCACCACTCGTGTGTATGCGCGTTCATGCGTGTTTAATGGTTGGAATAACTGTTTAAAAATTAGAAACAATTTTGTATAAGCCTGTTGTTAAAGAAAATCATTACAGTTTTGCAACCTGTAATAAGTTGCACATACTTGTCTAAACTGTAATTTATATATTAGAATATATGGATAACATGAAAAAGTATGCAGACAAAATTCTTTAGTCCTGTTGATCAGAGAGGTTTTCTGCAGTTTCAAATGTTCCACCACATGAGTGACGGAAAAATGAATCGTATCTGTTGTAATGTAATGATGAGCTATTGTTTGTTTCAATGTGAAAGTGATGCTTTGTAGGATTTCCAAGGAAATGTTTAATGTGATACAGTTATGTGTTGGCAGTTTAGCAATAGATTTGTATGGTGTGTGAATGTGCATTTGTCCTAGTCACAGAAGTAATTTGTTGGGGCAGTGTAGTAAAATATTGCAAATTAAAATTTTCTCTTTATTATGAAGTCTTACTTTTCAAAATTTGCAAGTTTAAAACTAAAATATTGATTGTTATATTGTAATTTTTGTATAAGAGGCTTAATAAACTTGCATAACAATTTGAAACTTGTTAAAATTATGATTTTTGTTTATGTGAACACTTTTATTTTGTAGTGATGAGGGTCTTGAGGGGGGAGGACATCATTCATTATGTTATCAGAATTTGTCCACAGTAAATTGCGTATAAAACATATCAGTAGAAGTATCTTCAATACAGAACTGAAACATGGGTATGGAACTGTAATGTTTTGGTTTTCTCAACAGGAAGAAAAGAATCGGGCAACAGATGTCTGACTCTGACAATTCTAATATCATGTCCATCAGCAACCGTAGTAGCAGCAGCGATGACTTTGTCGTAATGAAACGAAAGAAACCGTCAAAGAAAACAGATTCTAAAGACAGCACCTCTGATAGTGATGTACCAAGGTAACAAAAATGTCTGTTTTTAATATATTTATGTTTTGTTTGTAATGGTTATATTTTCTTGCTAATACTTTGTTTCAAAAATAAGAATTGGCTCTCATGGAAATTTTCAATGGAAACATGTAAGTAACATGTTGCTTTTCAGCAAAGTTGATATCACATGATGATTGGACATACATATCCTAATGTCTGGATGGTTTTCCAATTTATTGGTGGATGAAAGGAAGATGAAATGTAAATATTCTCACACACACTATATTCCTATGTCTGTAGGTAGAGATGTTCTGGTGTTTTTGGACTATACTAAATTATAATTAACCCTAGTATTATGTTTTAATATATTCATGGAACGAAAGTTACGTGTTATGGGATTACAAATCTTTTATGAGTCCACTGAAAACATAGGTCTGCATAAATGACATGAGTTCTTTGTTATATCAGTATTTTACTACATCACTAATACAGAGTGTACAACTCAGTAACATATTTCTGTGCTTGAAGCACTAATGAAATAGTTTTATAGATAGTAACTGTACTTCTAAAATGTTTTTGCAGTTCTAAAGTGATTAGACGGAGGAGAATTAGGGCTCCGGCTAAAGACTCCAGCAGCAGTGATGGTTGCCAAGTTGAGTCTAGTCAAAAGGTAAGAAACTATTGAAGATATCCGTCTTCTGGGTTATTGCGCTGTGTAGTCTGGTCGATGTTAACCAACGTTTCAGAGGTCATACTGCCTCCATCATCAGGGCGATGAGTATGAAGATATCTGTCTTCTGGGTTGTTGCGCTGTGTAGTCATTCTTTAGCACAGTTGTTTCTATCATACGTCTCCTCTCTCTCTTTAAAATTGTTCCATTTCCATGCTTGGAAAATTTGGGAAGACAAATGATTATCAAGTTTCTTGTATTGTGTGTATATTATGTATACTCTGTACAACAAAGTCAAGAATTTAAAATTTTCTAAGTTTGAAATTGGAAGCAATATATGTGTAACCTGCCGTCATAATTCCAATAATTCATAATCTTGTGTTTGTTCATGTGTGGTTTTTCTCTACCTTCTATTAATTACAATTATTTATGCTAAACGTTTCTTAAGCAAAGACACCAGTATGTCTGCCTAATTTGAGGAAAAGCATGAATTAATGTTAATTTCTTTTCTGAGATGTGTGGCCAAGTCCCACAGCAAAATGGAGGTGACAACTGCACTTTGCCTAGCTGTCTGTTTTCTTTGGTAGACAAGTTGGTAGGGTGAGGGATTAGCATTGGTGTGAAATTTACATTTTGAATTTCAGGTCTTTTATGTTATCGTACGTTTTTAAATTCATGTGTTGTTTTGACACAAACACTCATTTAAACGTGTATATTCAACTGTGTGTTTCAAAATATTTCTGTGAAACTCATACCAAGATTAGCAGTAAATATGCAGATTTTAATATTCAAAAGAGAATGTGTAATTGTTGTTTGCTATAAAGCATATGCAGTCCAGTAACTTTTTTATGAGCAAAGGGTAGTTGTCAGTATTATCTTTCACATTATCATTTTACTATTTATGCTGCATTGGTGAAGTTAGAAATGTGCAGGAAATTGGTATTTCTTTTACTTTTATGCAGTTTGTTCATTGGCATTTTGATTTAAAGGTTCCATGTTCAAATCTGTCTGTAGGGGAAAAATAGAAAGAAAGAAACTTTAGAAGTGTTTCACAGGTAACTTTATTTTCACTCTTTGTACTCCCACCCATGAATTATGTATGTAGTGGTACAAAGTTTTGCTAGTCTGCATTCTTAGAGTTTAATTAAAGTGTAAATTATACAAGCAAAGATCCAAAACGAGTGTTTTTTATTCCTATTTTTATCAAATTTTTGTTTTTATTTGTTACTAAATCCATCCTGTAATTTTGTGTTACTAATGCAAAGATATTTGTTTTCAGTCGGATACTCCGGGCAAGGGACGTAAGAATATCCATCGAATATTGAAGGATGATAATGTGGGCGAGGCAACACGAAGAGCTGGACGAGAAGAAGAAGAGAGGAAGAAGAGAATTTTAGAGAAACAAAAATTGGTGAGTCCAGTGTCTGTCATTATCTGTGTATTTACAAAGGAGGGCTTCTAATAAAGAGACTGGCTTATTCTGAAAACTCATCAATAGTATGTAACTGTTAAAGTCCATATTATAATATTTTAGAGCAGAGGTAGACCATCAGTTCAGTTTAGATGGGATTATTTAAAATAGCTACATGTTTGTACATTGTGAGGAACAAACTGTAGTCTAGTAAAATGTTAAATAGCTGTGAATTATTAAAATTTTCAGGCTGTCAGCAATGTTAGTTGGTTAGAAATCACTGATGTTTGAGGGACCATCTACGTCCTCATCATCGGGACTATGATGTGATTACCCTGAAGATGGGGACAGAGATGGCCCTTGAAACATTGGTGATTTTTAACTAACTGACCCAGTTGATAGCCTGAGATGATTTTATTAATGTTGGCCATTGTGAAAATATTAGATCATACATTAACTATAAAATATTTGTGTAAGTCTACCAACAGGATATGAGATTCTTCTTCTATGGCTCTCTGGTCCGTATTCGGTCCATGGCCTCCTCAATTCTCCTCTTCCATTCGGTCCTCTGTTAGGTCCATCTGTCCGAGGCTTCGATCGAGGTTTTGAAATGTCTTCCTTTTTACGGCGCAAGGTTGTTAGCCTTGCGACCAACCCCCAACCTGGAGGACCAGGGTACCTGTCTTAGTCTGACCTCTCCCCCTCGACCAGTCTGGCTAGGGAGGCCCTACCAGTAGCTCTTGGGGTCACTGAGGTACTCAAGCCCCACCACCACGACAAGGTGCAGGTACCATTAAGTGGGGGATATGAGATTAAGATTATTAATTATTAATTCAGACATGATATCTTGAAGTGAGATTAGTGTTCTCACGGTTATGAGATATGCATGCCCCACTTGGTTTTCACATACCTGTTTGTAGGTACAGTAAATTAATATGAATGTGTAATTTGTGCATTGAACCCATTACTTACCTGTCAATTGTTTGCTGGGTCATTTTACAGACTGGCTGGGAATGTATTTAGACTGGTTGAAGGTTGTGTTCATTTGCGCGAGAACTACACAGTTTTCATAAGTTGTGCTTTGTGCAGAGGTCCTGTTCTGAGTGACTTTCTTGTGTTTTTGTGCTGTGATTTTAGGAATGAAGACTTAAAATCTGAGCAGTGTTATGGTATTTGTTGCTGTGTTATGTTGTTCATATTTTCAAATAAATTATCAAGATTTATGGAGCGTGAAATTAAGGGGATAAAAGCATGTTGAGTTCAGATGGCATTATAAGTTTAAGTAGTGATGAAAATCCATGGCAGATGGTAAGAAGCCAACCCACTAAGTCACTTTGCTTGTCCAGAATAAAAATTATTGTAAAGGAGAATCCTGTATTGATGTCGTGCTTTAAAATATCTGCCATCTTGTCTGTAAAAGAAGACCTGCACTGTTTAATGAGACATGGGTTTTCCATTAGATAATGCCAGGCTGCAAACTTCAAGAATGTGGTACAGTAGGGCACCGCATATACAGTGGGTTAGGGACCAGACCCCCGCCGAACAGCAAAAAGCGGATCTTTGCCTTTTTTCACTTGCAAATGCATATCAAAGCCTAATAAGATGTTTACACTATTATATAGTAAGTGCAGAATAGCGCTAGGACTAATAAAACGATATGAAAGTAAAATTACCCAGCAGCCCTGAGGATGAGAGCAGAGATTGTTCTCGAAACGTTGGTAGAAGATATGGTTTATTCAACGTTCGGCCACCTGACGCTGCTTGTAGCCCAAGAATCTTTCATCAATCAAATGCATACTTCTCTGGGGAGAGTACTTTGAAGGAGATAAAGAGCCGCAGGGCAGCAGCAGCGATACACAGAGTGATGTTAGGTACACTGTGGACCTTGAACCAGCGTCCCACAAACGTTTTTCACCCTCAGCACACTGTATGTTGTCAAAGACACATGGTGGCACACCAAAAAATTTTGTCTCACAAAAAGGGTGATATGAAATTGTACACAGCCGTAACATCTGTCTGTGTATAAATAATTATGATACGTAAGATATTGCGTTTTTATGAGTATAAGATACAGATGCACAATTTATTACAAAAGGTTGTGGCATCATACCAGTGTGTTTGCAACGCACCGGTTTCGGAACACTGCCTCGAATGAGCAGTCTGTGTGCAGGTTAGGTTTCTTCATGCGTGGTGCTACTGCCTAAGATTGCAACAGTTTATAAATCAACATGTATTCAGTCGTGCATCAGAATTAAAGTAAACAACATTAACTGTTAATATAGATGTTGTGTTTGTATTTTTCAGTATAATGAGATTTACAAGCAACTGGAAGGAACAGAGAAATTAGACAAACTTGTTCTGGATTTTGATCCTGAGACAAAAGAGGAACTGGTTGCTGTGGATCCTTTTATTGTTTCAAAGCTGAAACCTCATCAGGTAAACTTAAAGATGTTATTTTCAGAAAGAACAATATCAGTTTTGCATGTTATTATAATGCTTTTATTTTGGACAATTAAAATGTTAAATTAAAATTAAATCCGTGGCGTAACAGCTCCAGAGAGCCAAAGCCGACTAACTTGACTGCTGGCCTCACGTTCACATGCCTAAGCAGAGGTGAACGATCATCTAACCAGATATAGGGTGACGTGTGGTCAGCACGACGAACCCCCAGCCATTTCTAGCTTTCCTGACCGGATTACACTACTCATTGTAGTTCGCCAATTTCCTCACGATGCTGGGTTGGCACCGGTCCCATACACTGGTCGAAAGCTCATGAAAAAATTTCTTCTCCCCCGAGACTCGAACCAACGCACATTCCGTATCGCCGGTCCGAAGACTCTGAAAATATCTTTTTTGCTTCCAAATGCTCATTTAGTAGAATAAATAGATAAATAACTACAGTGCATTTAATGTATTTTCTTCTGATCTTATTATTACCTGTTTATAAAGCAAGATGCTGGTTTATGGTCAGATTCTCTCACATTACGCCTGCATGAATAACTTGGAGATTCCATTGAAGTTCATAAAGTATTTTCATAAAAAAAATCCTTTCCTGTCTGATGTTAC